TTTCTCTCTCTCTCTCTCTCTCTCTCTGATCTCTCCCAAAGAAAGAGAAACAAAGATGTTCTACATGAAAATGAAAATAATTAATATCATAGCAATAAATGTGCAAAAATAAATAAAAGTCCTACAAAGTCCTCTAAACCCCAACATGGTGATAATGTTGGAGAAGCCTATTGGCTTCTCTAAGACCACTAAAGTAAGCTCCATGGGTGGTAGAATAGTGGGTTCTGTGTGTAGCTTCCCCTGCAAACAGAATTTGAAGTGGGGGGGAAGTAGCAGGCTCATCACCACAACTGTTCAACTTTGGCAATGGCTCTGCCATGGTGTCCAAATCCTCACCACTTGATCCAACAGCAACATAAGAGTAGGATCCTAGAAACAGAGGATCATTACCCCATTGACTCTTCAAAACCTTTGCAATTTTTACTTCAGAGTTCTCTTGTGAATTCACATTCCCATTGCATAGTTCATAGGAATGACAATTTTCTCTCTCTTTCTTTTGGGGTTTTGACAGAAAGCTAGAGACTGTTGCTGAAACCCCATTAATGATCTCTTCATCTTTGAGTGATTCAAGCTCAAGTGCTTCTTTCCCTGCAAACCAAGATAGCAGAACGCTGGAATTGTGATAGAGTGGACAAAGAGAAGCTGTCTTCCTCATCCACCATGGGATCTTTTTATGCCTGAATTCTGAGTCTGCTCTATGAAAAACCATTTGTAAAAATGGAAACTTACTGAAGTCTTGGCCTTTTGTAGCATGGGTAGAGCTCAGTTGCAGAAACAGCTTGTTAACAACACCAAAACCAAGCCTTGATATTGCCTCAGTCTTGAAAGAAGGCAAGGGAGGATTGAACATACCTGAATCTTGTTGAATTGAAGCTTTAAGGACCCCCAAAGAAACTGTAACAATAACATGATCGGCCAACATAACTGACCCATCAGAAAAGTGTAGCTTCACAGGCCTTGTGTCATCATAACCATTGTTGATATGAGTCTCTGGCTGCTGCCATTCAATTTTTGTGACCTTTCTGCCTAACTGGATCAACCCAGATGGTAGAACAGAGGCTAGTGATTGAACTATGCTCAAGTAGCCTTTAGCAATGGTGATTTCTTCGCCTGGGAACATACGGTACTCGCTTTCTGCACTATAATCCAGAGTAAACAAGTCACCAGCTGATGTATAAGTCCTTTGGGTGCTCTCATGCATTGCAAAGATGGCTTCTTCCAGCAACCTTCTGCTCCAATTTCCATAACCATTGAGCTTCAGCTCCTCATCTTGGTTTTTCTTTGAAATCCAATAAGCATCAAGGCCCTGCCTTAGGAAAGAACCAACACTGAGCTTCCCAAGACCGCCATTGCTTGTACAAACCTCGGAAGCTTTATCTCCAAGCTTACTGTATTCAACATCACCATTGCTCTCTGTTTCAGTACTTTCATCAAACACCTTCTTCCCCTGAGCATAATCCATCAAGTTCTTGAACAGAGATGAAATGGGGTCTACCAGAGTGGGGTTTAGCTCAAACCCACATTCAGCAATGGTCTTGGGCTCATCAGAGGACCCATCCATGCACTCCCATGGCTGCTCAGACTCAAGTGCATGGATTTCTTGAGCAATTTCGTGAACTGGGCTGCCTCCAATGCCATGGATCCAAGTGGCGCCCATCTCAATCCGGTCACCACCAAACTCTGATGTGTTGATTCTGCCACCAATTCTTGACCCACCTTGATTTTTTGGCCACCATTTTTGTTTCTAACCTCTGCTTCTTTCAACAACACACAAAAATGACAAAAGGGTACTTAGAGTTTTTTAGACACAAGAAGAGTGAGAAGAGAGAGAAAAAGAAGAACTGTGAGGTGAGGTGATATTGAGTTACTGATGAGGATTTTATAAGGATCTCCTATGTCCTCTCTTTGTTTCTTTTACATATTACTACATTTTTCTTTTTCCCTTTGTTTCTTTTTATTATTATTATTATTATTTTTTTCTAATAAAGACAGGGCTCTACTTTTTTTGAGCTCTCTCTACAAGTATATGGCTCATACCCAAAAGACCATTCTCTATGAAATCTTGTCCTAGCATCTCTCAATGCCACTTCCATTTATGTCCAAAATATCATTATATCTTCTGCACTCATTTGAATTCTGATTAGCCATAAAGATCTCAGCAGGCATAGTTACCAAAGGCAAAGGAAATTTTTTTTTATCATATATGATGATGCCCAGGAACATCTGAAACTTTAAAAGGTTGACAGGGCCTTTCACCAACCTTCACATGTACATTGAGCAAGGGACACCCCACCAACTCAGCAATTCAACGGTCCTGATCGGTTGATGAACCGTCATTCGGTGGTTCACGACTCATGACTTGGGTTTTTTTATCATGTATGTTCGTATTTAACTTCTAGATTGACAAGTTCGCTGTTCTCTATGGTTCATGACTCATGACTTGTGAGATTTTTCTCCCATGCATGTTCGTATTTAGCTGTTAGATTGGCGAGTTCACTGTTCTCTATTCATTGAGCTGTTTTGTGTTCAAACAACTCCATCACCGAGTTCACTGTTCTCTATTCATTGAGTTGTGTTGTGTTCAATTAACTCCATCACCGAGTTCACTATTCTCTGTTGGGATTTGTCTACAAATCGTACTTGATCTGTTTAAGTCCATAAACCCTAAACAGTAGCCTATTGTGGTCAACGTATACTTTGAATGGTAAAGGTGACAACGAATCTTGGTGGCCATCAGCACCATGATGACATTTATTACTATGACCCAACGTTATTATTATTTTAAACTCTATGCCTATGGCATAGATATAGGTTTATCAGTTGCTTTCACAAACTAAAACGTTCATGGTTCAATACTTTCAATTGTTTACCATATCCAAACTTTCTTCTAAATCTTCATCAAAGGTAGTGCAGATATGACAATATACACATTGGAATGACAGGATTTTGTACTGATTTCTTACAGTTAAAAATTTTATTGAACAAGAAAGATTACTACATCATTTACAATCAATTTATATCGTGTCAAAGGGTTTGTGGAATGAATCTTTATCCCATTTGATTAAAAATTGGTCTTAAATATATAGTAATATGAATCTTCATCAACGAAGTTAATCATCTTGTTAAGTCAAAGCTTATAGTACCACATTGATGACAACTTCTTATGTGACGGGGTTCTAGTTATTTTATAGGTTACTTGCATTAGATTAAAAAAAACTTATATCTAACGGGTGTATACGTCATATAATGTCACTAGAACATTAACACGTGACTGAGAGAAAAACATATACTTGTTAAATGCAACTAAACGAGAAAAAGAACATTTGAATGGGGCGTTTTTAGGAAGAAAAAGTAATTCATTATTGATAGTTTGCTTTTACAGAGAATGACATGGATGATTGAGACCCAGGAGTTCACTTTTTTTTATATGAGGAATTGATAGGAGAATGATGGGATTGGGATGGGGTACAAAACTGGCCATCCATTGATATGATTGCCTAAAATTGTTGTTGGGTTTCACTTTTTTTAACAAGAGTTTTTCTCGCCACTTTTGAACATTACTATTTCATTGAAAATATATGTCATGTATTATGATGATTGTGTATTTTAAAAACAATTTATACGTATAATACGTAAAACCCTTTGCATGAAATGATAATATTTCGAGCAACCTATTTGTTAAAGGGCTAATCCCCAAGAGTTTAGGGCTAGGGTTCTTGAGCCGCAAATTGTCCCCTTGTTTAGTTGGTAGGTACCCATTGTTTTTTTTTGTTTTTTTGTTTTCAATCAAAATTGGGAAATTTGTTTGTTTGATGCTCATAGAGCTCGAAGTGGCTAGCTTCCTAGTGATGCCTAGCTAGCTAAAGACTAAGAGACCTAACCACTCATATTTATAGATAATAAATTCACTCTCTTAATCAACTTTAGCTTTCGAAGATGTTAAAGTGACGATGGTTGGTTAGGGAATAATTTGGTCATCAAATGATGTGAGGAGAGAAGAAAAGTAGTCCAAACAAAGCTTTTTTTTAAATGAATGGAATAGAATAGAGTTCCTTTCTTTTGCGTACAAGCGATTGGGGGAGAGGGGTTTGCACAAATATTCATTGGATGTTTAGGGGTTTTGAACTTCTATCAACATGGGTGAAGATGAAAGAGCTCAACCACTGACAAAATAATTCCTTTCTTATGATAATATTTAGTGGCGGTGGTGATGGCAGTGTCCTCCATTATCATATTTTCTACCAAGTCTTAAAGGAAATTAATGGGCCAATGAGACCACATGAGGCCCAATTAATGTTTGCTTCCAGGATGATTGGAGTTTTGGGTTTTGTCCCAAATCCTAATGATAATGACAGTGTGGGCAACAAAGCAGACCCATGCCATTTCCAAAATTGCCACTGGGGGATGTTCGTTTCGGCCCAAGAATTAACTCATTTGGACCCACACACTTCAACATATAACCGGAGCCCATTCGACAAGTCCAATTGTCAATGAACAAATCGGATCAACAAATTCGTGGTAATGCTTCTCTTTCCCATATTATAAATACTGAAAAATTTCTCAAGTTCGAATTTCCCTCTCGGTGAAAAAGGATGAACAAAATATTATAAACTTTTGATTTAAATAATTGTCACAACACAAGGTGTCTTTGTGACATGTTTGGCAGGATTCGTGATGAACACAAGGGGCCTAGTCGAAGTTTGAAAAAAATGGTCAAAGAAATCACCATCCATCCATCCAAATCCATATCTTGAAAAGCAAAAAAAATCAAAAACAGAGGCAAGGCAGAGGCATGCTTAAAACGTATGTCCCTTTTCTAGGAGTAGAGTAGAGTGGAGTAGAGTGGGACCCACAGAAGCTGACTCATTATATATCAATTTCATCCATTTTCTTCTTCGTTAAGGAAATAAAATTAAATAACAAAAATCAAACCGATAAGATAATAATGCTCCAAAACCAAAACAATAAAATCATAAAATAATTGCAAAGAAATTTAAAGGCAAATATTTTTTCAATAAAACTCTGTATTTTTTTCTTTTTGCAGTCAGTACTGTACGTACTACTACTACCAGACGGCCACATGCACACGCAATACCCAAAATGAACATTTCACCTTTTCTTTTCTTTTTTTCTGTGTGTACCCCCTAAATTGCTAATTGACAATCCTAATAATGTCCTATTCACATCTCTGTAGCTAGCTTCCTGCAGAAGACTACTCTGTGTAGCAGAAAATAAAACCCACCTACCCCTCTGGCCATGCCGCCTTTCATAAAAACACCCATTTCTTCCTAAACCCACCAAAATTCATTTCTATACCCCCCAGCCCCAGGTTGTTGAGAGACAACAAACAACACACAGACTCTGGGACTGCGAGAGAGAGGTCAAAATAGGTCTTCCCCGATGAACCTCGCCAGCGCAGCATCATCCCACTCCGCCTCCATGCCCAATCCGCCACCACGCGCCGCCTCCTCGATTATACCACACGCGCCGCCGCTCTCCTCCTTCGCCTCCTCCATCAACCACCTATCGAACTCCAAACCCATAACCTCCGCTCCAATGCCTAGCCCGCCACCGCATATGTCGACCCCCACCATGCACGTCGACTCCAGCTCCGAGAACGACGACCCGCAGCTCTCCTCGTTGCCGTTGACGGTGAAGTACGACGACGGCGAGTACGGGTCGTTGACGAACCTCACCTTCGCACCAGTAGTGCAACTAGCACCGTTGTCCGCCACGTCCAGAAGCTTCATCACCTCGTCGAGCGTCTCGTCGGGTTCGTTGAACAGCAGAGTCAAAATGTCGTCGTTTTGATCTCCTTCCACCTCCAGATCTCGCTGCCTCTTCACCGCCTTCTCCTCCAACGCTTCGTCTCCAGGCCTCTTAAGCGTTCCCCTGTCTGTGTCCGCCATGAGAGAGAGAGAGAGAGAGGTAGAGAGAGAGTGTGAGTGTACGGAGAGAGGCAGAGTTGGAGGAGTGTGTGGGTGTGTCGTGTATATATTTGAGTGGGACTTGACGTTTTACGTACAGTTTGGTGAGGGTGTGCAGCCAAAATTCCCAATTTCGTTCCCCCCACATCGAAAATGGTGAAGAATTACCAAAAAGGAGGGATCGTGGGTCCCATATTTGGTGGGTCCAGCTGTCGACGACTTTGCTATAATCTAAACCGTTGAAGCTTACGCACCTGGACGATCTGACGGGGCGGGTTTTGTTAAAGATTTGGGGCTGGGTGACGTGGCGTGCAGTGGAGGTAAGGGATGGGAAGGAAAGGAAAGGAAAAAAGCGCGTTTTTAATGTTGTGTAGTAAATAACTAGAAACGGTGTGTGTTACTCGGAGCCTTCGCGAGAAAGAGAGATTTTTTGTACCCTCCGTTTTGATGTGCAAAAAGCGTGTATTGGAAAGATGGCTCTTTTGGACATCGAATTCATTTTACTCTTATGGAGGGGAAAAAAGAAGAAGAAAAAAAGTGGACGTTTTTGTTGTAATAAGCATGAGTCTAAAAGGGTTTTAGTTTCTGGATTAAGCAGTTGGTGCTTAAGTTTGTCATGTGAACATTTGAGTAAGAAAGTTTGTAAACAAAAATTTAAAGGTGCAAGTATCATGGTTTTTCGTCCTCTAATCATTTAGATAAGGAAGTTGTCCAGGTAATTCCAAAGTTAAGTTGTCATATTATGAATTTGAGTCATTTCGGTATAGTCTTGTTTAGAAATTTTATGGATTTGTCTGGTAACACAATATGCCAGATTATAGTAGTTTTTCATGCTATTAAACTTTCCATTTAAAAAGTCCCTAATAAGGAATAATCCTGGTTAAATTTGGTAAGAACTAAGCCGTGCAATGTAACAAACCAGATAATTGTGATAGGTCATAGTGTCAAACGGACAAGTCAAATCATTCACTAGGTTCAATCTTATCCAAATGTGGTCCTAATTACCAATCAGGTTACATCACGTGCTAAATAAACAAGAAACCGTTACTCCAATATGGGTATATATAATCTCGTTGCCAACGAGGTCTAGCCCACTGAAAAATGATGATGACTTATAAGACCATTAGTCTCAGGTTTGAAATCTCATGACCCTTTTGGTAGTGTGTATTATATGCTCTCATTTCCTTATAGTTTAAACTACCGCTTGTATAATATATATAATCTCGTTAATTCTTTATATAAGAAAAAGGTAAACTAGGATTCAAGTTGGGGAAAGGGATTTGGACTTTTTATTTAGGGTTATAACACTAGTATACAATGGTACCTAGGGATATAATAGATGAGTTTGGTTTACAAATCTAGATTTTGAAGTGTAGCTCATGTTTGTCCCTAGGCATACAAAACCACTATGCTTTGCTTATCTCTCTCACCAATAGACACACAATAGTCGACAATTTGGCATTCTCATAATTCTTGCCTAAGAAATTGGAACATCCCATTTCTTACAAAATGATCCAAACACGTCATATGAGCTTAGATGTTTCTTCCATCGCGATTACTAGGCTCATAATTGGTCTAATTTAGTGGAGATAATTTGGTCCAGCTCGATTATTATCATTATTATTCTAAGATAATTGAGTTAACAAAATATTGTACCCTTTAACTGCTTGTCACATCATTTCACTTGTCTTGATGGATAAAGAAATGGACTCACTTTTTGTGTGAAATAATTTTTAATCACAAACAGAATTGTCAATGCGAAATCTGCTGCAAATCCACCAACCGACATTTCCCTTATTAATCTTAAGCAAAATAAATAAAGACATCTACCACAACGAGATATTTGCCCCTCTTAAGGCTTCTGAATAATCATGTCCAATCCAATTAAAATTAAAATCTCTGATGAACATGGCCGAAAGAGTGAGCCATGCATCTAGGTTAAAGATCCCTAATCCCAAGCACCGGTCAAACACGATGCCGCATACATAAACTTAGTCTAAGCATGAATTCTCTTCTCTCATCATAAACACCCATATCCAATAAGCAAATATTACAATCACAGCAGACCTAGAAAACCATCCTACCTCTCTAACATAAAAGAGCTTAGATTCATTCAATAAGCTTGCTACAGAAATTTTTTCCCACGAATCTAAAAGTGCACTTGACACTCAACTCTCAAGGCTTTGAAGCACAGGAAACGACATGGGACTTGAACTTCTCAAGCTCTGCCAGAACCTCCTCTTCAGGTCTGTAGATCAGGTCACTCATTCGCCATATCTGAAATCAATTGTCAGCTTCAGAAATCAGTTTCCATTGTCAAATCAAAGGGTAATTTCTCTTTTAACCAGAGAAAGGTTTCAAAGGAAAGGGTAATATATGGGAGGAAGGAGGGCATAAGGGTAAAACACATCATGTGTACACCAGAAAAACTTTGTTCAAGCAACATTCTTTTTCTTATCATGTTTAACGCTTCACATTCATCTCATATGGTTTCTCATTATTGCTCCCTCAGCTTTCAAAATATACTTCTTTAAATTTGTTTTATAAGAAATAATTTATCACGGGTAAAGTGAAACCCTTCCAATGAGGTAAAGAAGAACATCCTGATACCTGCAATGTCCCCCCTCCACCAGTAGTATCACAGTCATCAGACACACTAACGATGGTCCATGGATCGGATGCATTCCAATGGAAATCAACAACTTTGTCCCTGATGAAGTAAAGAAAACCACGGGAGAACTATGAGAAACTAAAAGGAAAAAAGAACGCTAGACTATTCAAATTATACAGTCCAGGATCCAATTTCACTTGAGAAAACTTCATTACCATTTACCAGGCAATACCAAACATGTTCTAGATATAACCATTAAAAAATCATTCAGCGCCAAAGAATTTTAACAAACCTAGAAGACTAAGCAATAAGGTACAAGATAGATAAAAGGTTTTAGACCACTATCATGTCCACCTCTCTTGAGAAAAAGCCAACAAAGACAAACAGAACATTTCCCCAGTTTGGCAAATGATGTTAGCAGAGTAAAATTTCCAACAAACATTTTATGCAAAGGTCAAACTTAAAATTTCAGAGAACATAAGATAATTACAAGATCATGTTTTCATCACATACTGTTTACTGACCATATGAACCTAAAGATATATAGGTGGCATGGAAACAATATAAACTCTGGTATGATTCCCATTTAACAGAAACCGAGAAAGATAGAAAGTCAAGTGAGATGCAAAAGAAAGAATCCTGTACCAGACACATCAAAAGCTAAGTAAAAGAGATAGTCTCGAACCTGTGCCCAGCATGCTGGAAAAACAGACCAGGTGGAGAACTTGGGCCTTTGGTAGTTCGCTCCTTACTTACCTGCAAGTTATTGTGTTTGCAAAAAGTTATCACAACTTCTGACTAATTGAAGTAATGGGCAGAGAAATAGAGAAGGTGAAACTCAAAGAAGTGGCAATCCACTCTTATAAGAACACAACAAAAAAGTTATTTAGAAACACTTTTTTCATCATTTCAAAAAGTTGATTGAATTTAAACTTACAAGATTAACATATAAATCAAACCACTGTACATTCTGAAGGCCACCATACCTTCTCATAATCCCAAATGTTTAAAAGACCATCTTCTGCAGAGCTTCCAAAGACAGACGATTTGTCTGGACACCACTGAAATATAAATGTAATTTGGTAAAAACAACAGATACAAACCTGCAGTTCTTGCAAAAAATGTACTTCCCATAGAGTAGAATTTTTTTAGAAATAGAATATAGCAAGACATGCAGCATAAGTATTACCTGGACACAAAGAACAGCTGCTTTGTGACCCTCAAATTTATAAATAGGTGCCCCAACTCCGCCAGAAGTGAGATTTCGGCGATCAAACAAGCGAACGGAATTATCTGCTGACCTGTTAAGAAATCATACCAGCATAGACGTATTAACAAGTGTCATATCTTCTCACAGTTCAAGCCTTAAAGCACAATAAAAAAAACAGAGGATTAGAAAAGCAGCAAAACTGAGAGAAATATGCCATTAGCATGTACCCTGTTAGAATAAGGTTATCATCATGGGGATTCCAATCAACACAGTGAAGATCAGCATTATGTGCTTTTTCAACCTGATAATCAGAAACAAGAACAGCCAAAATGTACAATAAGTAGAAGGCAAAATTACACTTAAAAGAAAAAGACACCTGCCAAGATTAATGATCAGAGATATTTAGGAAGATCTAACACCCAAAAAGATACTCCTATAGGCATGTTACTATTGATAACTAAGCAGTAATCTTCAAACAGAAAAATAGTTACATCAAAGATATATGCTGCAAACTGACACTACTCAGCCAAATTCTACATGTATACCAGTTTATTCACCCAACTCCGAAGTATGAAGCCTTTTAGCATGTGCAGAAGGACTGAAAATCCATTCCAAAGGCATATGAAAAATTAAAGGAGAGCCTAAAAAAAGGATGAGATGCATAACCTTTATGGCAGGGCTAGAGCCCACACGTGCATCCCATAATATGAGGCAGGAATCGTCACCAACACTACAGAACTCCTGTGAACTTCAGTAGAGATGTAAAATCATAAGAAATAAAAGGCCACGTCCTTAGAAGACAAATTGCAACTACTAAGGTTTAAATTGAATAGAGGTTCCATGTCTTTATTAGTTTGATTGAATCTTGGTCAGCATAAAAGAATTTATAAAGGCTTGGTAAATGAGAAGATGTAAGTTACCTAGATGGGCAAAATGCCACATCTTCAACTGTATCCTCATGCCCATAGTAGATTCCTCGTGGTGCAACAGAAGGGCCATCAGCAGCTTTATCATTACCATCCCCAGGCTTTGAGTTTTGTTTAATAATTGACCCACCAGATCCTGGAGATTTGGTTGCTGCTGGATCTGTGGTAGCCGCTGATATATGGTCCTGAATACTCCACAAAACCACTGTTTTGTCCTTCCCTGCAATAAAATATTTTTTCCAGTGAAAAAGAAAGAGCCTTCATAAAATACATAATCTAATTTCTCATAAGCCCAATAACGATAAGAATAACGATAGTGAGATGAGTTCTTGAAATCAATCGCAAACTAAAACATACAGCATCCAGTCATCAAATTTTACAGTAAAAAGAGCAAATTATATAAACAAGAACCTACATACATTAGGCATACTTAAATCATTTAACAGCATCATTAGGATTCAAAAAACAAAAGAAAAAAATTTCACACCTCCAGACAGCACATATGGTTCAGTTGGACACATTGCAAGAGCAAATTCTGCATTATCTTGATGTCCAGTCAAAATCTGAAAGGAGAAAATAGTCAAACAGGTTCTATATCTTTCAATTGAACAAACAAAGTTAGCAGTAAATCATACAAATCTTGAAAGGGTCCAACATTTAAAAATTGTGGCTCTCAAGGAAAAATGAAAAATTTAGGAAAAGAGATACGTAGCCAAAAAAGCTTACCAAATCCGGGCGTGAGCTTGTGGCTCCAAGGACAGCATGACGGTTAGGTTGAGCTTCCACATCCCAGATTAGAACCTAAATTTTGGCAAAATTTCAAAAGTGATTATAACTTCAAAAATGAACCCAGACATATAAAACAAAGAACATGACACTATCATCAAAATTAATAAATAAAAAACACTTACATCAGGGCTGTCTGTATGTGTGGCCACTATCTTAGTGTTCTGTGGAAGTTCTCTGATTCTGTTTATCTGTCAAAATATATGAAAAGATTACTAAAGACAAAGTAATTGCAAGCTTCCAAGATCAACAACTTATACCCAAAATGAGAGAAGAAAGAATCAACGACTTAACAAGTGCATCATTCATACCTCTCCCGGATGTATGATAGTCTTGTACTTCTTAACAAATGGTGAGCGGGCTTCTTCATTGAACTGAAAAATGAAGTAATTAATAATGATATTCACAGAAGAGTTAAGCTGCATGCAAAAAATAAAACCAATCACAAATACCTGAGATATATGCTCTGCAGCGGCAACTCTAGGTTTGACAACCTCGCAGTTTGCAATAACCAGCGTATTTGGAACACTTCCATCAGTCTGACAACGAATCAGAAAAAAGGATATTCTTTTAAAGAGAACATAACCTTAGTAAAATTTAGTATATATCTCCAGGATCAACAACACAAAAAATTTGTGCTTTAGCGCAATATAGTAACTTTAACCATTTCTAGTATGATTTATGAGTTTCAAATCCAAACACAGAATTTGTGCTTCCAATTATATAAAATTCAAGTGAATTTCATGTGTCGCAACACTTCCATGGGAGGATATTCAAAAATAACTGTGGGTAATCAAAATTGAGATGAGCAAGCTTACCTGCTCAGAAAGGTAGAGACGCTGGCGATTCTTGTAAGTAGCTTGCTCGAGCTGAGGACCCCACCTGGCCAAAACAGAAGCAGATATACAATGCTTATTAACAAAAGGATGCAGACTTTTCACTATCCATTTGCCTCACAAACCCTAAAAACCAAAAAAAATCAGATACACAGAAACACAAAACCTAAATTTAGAGCAAAAACGAACTGCACAACTGACAATGAGGTCTCATAAAAACCCTAAAACCCCAAAAATAGGGATAGAAGAAGTTAGACAGAGAGAGAGTACCGGCAAGAGAGGGAGGGCCAGACGAGGTTGTGGTTAGCGAGCCAGTCGTAGAGGACAGGGACGAGTGACTTCCACTGAGTGTACTTGTCGTCGACGGTGGCTTGTTGGTGGGCCTTCTTCATCTTGGCCTGCTGTTGCTGGTCGTCCTTCTTTTCTTCCTTGGGCTTGGGCTTTCGGCCCCGAGTCTCCTTCTTCTTCACAACTCCGACTTGTGGCTGCTGCGACTGAGCGTCCATGGCTACTCTGATTTGCTCTGCTTCTCTGAGTTTGGCTACGACTTCGACTAAAAACCCTTGGATTTTACTTCCCACTTTCTCTCTCTCCTCCTCTCTCACTTTCTCCGTGTGTCTCTCTCTGGCTCTGTTTCAAATTGGGATGCGACTCCGGTGGTCCACCCCACGCACTTTTAAAGTGGACGATACACACGCGCCATGGAAATTTCGTTTTTTTTTTTCGGAGGGGGGGAAATGTACATAAATTTATATGGCACTGAATAATATGAAGGATTGTTTGGAGGTATAAATTTTTTATTTTTAAGTACAAAAGAAAAATTACAAGGAGAATTGCGAGGGATTCCAATATTTCTATGATCAAACAATAATCTCATATTAGCAATTCTGTTTATGAGGACCCATATTAGCAAAAACATCAACAACCATATTTTCTTTACAAAACATGCACTAAAATATTAGAAATCTGAAGCTGTTGAAGAAGATCTTGGATGTTCTGAAAAACAATGAAAATCGACAACGGTGGTAAACCATATTTCTGTAAAAGATTAATTAGAATTTGTGGTAAAAATAATGTCAATTGATAGTCACATGTGTGTCTATAGGAACTTTGTAATTGTGTTACTTACACATTATTCAGAAGAAGAAAAAAAATATGCGAATAAATAATGAGAAATTTTATTCTTATGTTGCTCATCTTTATATACAAGGATTATTTTAGGTACCCTCATTAAGCAGGACTTGTTCCCAATAAAAATGACATATAATCACATAGACATGTTCACAAGCCAAGCCAAAGGATAAAAAGAAAAGGGAAACAAAGAAATTTTAAAAAGGCCTAAGCTTTGGCACAGCAAGAAGAGGAACTTGTCTGTGGATCACAAGACTCTGCATTCTGTCACGTTCATGTCCTCAGCTCTTGCTCCACAAGGCAATGCCCAGTCAAACTTGCGCGCAAGATTTGCCAACACAAGCTCAATAGTGGTCATGGCAAACATTTGGCCTTGACAGCCCCTCCTGCCAACTCCAAATGGGATTAACTGCAAGTCATGTCCTTTGAAATCCACAGCAAAGTTCAAGAACCTCTCCGGTTCATCCCACAGTGAGGGATCTCTACCAATTGTCCAGGCATTGACAAGGACCATGGTTCTTGCTGCTATGTCATAGCCCTTTATCTTCACATCTTTGGTTGATTCTCGGGGAGCCAGTAAAGGTATTGGAGGATATAGCCGAAGCGTCTCCTTGATCACTGCATTTAAGTAGTGCATTTGATCTAAGTCAATTTCTGCTATTTCTGGTTTCCTATTGGCAATTCCCATAATCTCATTTTGAACTTTTTTCAACACACTGGGATGCCTTAAGAGTCGGTTCATTACCCACTCTAGAACTGTGTATAGTTGTATCAGTTCCACCAGCAAACATCCTGCAAGAAAAGAAAGCAGGAAAGACAAGCTTCATTCAATTGTGCAGGATTCTTCATTTAATAAAAACATTAATCTGGACTTAACATTTGAATGAATTATCCACTCTGATATTGCAAAGCATCAAACCTAGAATGATTTAATGGTTTTGCAATGAATTTGAAATGCAAGGCTCAGAATACAATGACTTGGGATTTGTCAGGGCGATGTTAAATTTTCATAAATCACTAATATCATATCACAAATCACATCAGCAGTAAGTGAAGCAAACAACTCACTCAAATTCACAGGCAATGACAACAAACAAGGCTGCTTCACATTATCAACCAGCAAGCCCAGCTCTTCTTCTCTAACACTTCTAAAAGACTGAACCCTTTTGTTACTTAAAAGCTGAAGCACACAGATGCTTCTCATTCTTCTCCAATGCTCACCATGAGGAGCTGTAGACACATCTTTCCCTTCATAGAGAAGCCTATCAGAAATTGCCAACTTGGGTCTGTTGGAGAAAATTGTATCATTTGTTTTCATGATCTCACCAGCTGCATCCGCAGGCGGAACTATGAGCACTGGTCTGATGCCAAGATGAAGCAGCATGAGCTCACCATGGCGCTTAGCTAGCTGTTGCAGGGATCAGCGAGGGTGCATGTCCAATTGGTGGAGGTTGCTTAGTATGGGGAGCCTTGGGGGACAAGGAGGCAGGTTTTTGTGGGGTGTTCTTCTTGTACTGTGAATCCATTTGATGAGCAAGATTGTGAAGAAGATGAAGAGAAGAGCAAATGCAAATACTTGATTCAACATTGCCACCACTGTGCAGACTGAATTGGAAACCCAGAGGACTCTGGAAATGGGTTCTGAGTTGTGTTCTATATTTTGTTGTCACGCAACGTGTGTGGAAGTGGAGCCACTCAACTCCTTGTTTATTTGCGAAAACCTTTACCAAATGTATAAGAATCCTTTTTCAAAATCTTTGATTAAAGGTGACTTAAAAACTTGTCATTGGTGGTCTTATTAGACAAACTTTGATAATTTTGTATAAGCTATTTGCGTTTTAACTGGAGCAATCATAAAATTGACCTAAATACAACCCGATTGTTGTTGGATTGAGGCTCCAAAACAATCTATTAGATGGTAATGATACAAAGGTAAAAGACTAAAAGTCAATGAGGAAATCCAAAATCAAAATTCGAATTTTGGGTTTGGGGTTGCCCACCTCAGTGCAGGTTAAGAATACTGACTGCATTTCTACTGAACTCTATATCTCATGCCCAAAGAAAAAAATGAAAAATCTAAAGCACCATTGCAATTCAACATCTTCGTTTCAAGACATTATGCCATAAACTAGCGTAATCAAACTTGTCTCATTTAAGAACAACACAAGTAAGAGTACATTAAACTAACAATGTCAACAATATCATATCGTTCATGTAAATCTCTGATTTTTTTGTTAACAAAATTTCATAACTTTATAGCCTTAGACATAAACACCCGATGCGAGCAGTAAGAACAAGGATCCAAAACCCTGCACACCAAAGAGAACAATTAGACTCTTGGCAACAGAAAAAAATTGAGCAATCTATTATTGTATCAGTAGATAATAGAGGATTCTGACTACAGACGCACCAAGAAGACAGAGGCCACTGTTCCTGTTATAAGCTCCTTAGCAAGACTGCGGCTTTTCCTAGATATGGTCGCTTCATAGCTACAAAAGATATTCTCACCACCATTAAAAACTACTATATTCAGAAGATGATGGGGGTGCGCTTAATACAAAACTCAATGGACCTAATTACATAAAGAACAAAAGATGATGCTAGGCCAATGGCTTGTAACAATAATCAATCGTGCTAAACATTTGCTCACTTCAATTAGTCAAGATGAAACATGAGGGTTTAACAGTGCCCAGAGTCTTTCCAGGCTGCTGACTCATCCAAGAATAATATGAGAAAAAGGTTTCCGAACTATCGCAAACTATTACAATTTACAACCTAAAGCTAGTACCCTGCCTGCATTGTTCCTTCACAAATCCAAAACTTTTAAACTAAATATATAATAATATACCCTTCTTTAATCTTCAACTGGTTATTAAGCAATGTTTCAGTCCTTCAGATTCCTATCCTGGTTTTTAATCAGACTATCTTTTCACTATAACGACTAGAATTTCAATTTGCATTTCATTTATTGGGATATAAAGCAGTAAACTTTATTCCTTTCGTTCTTTCAATTTTCTCCAGTTCATGTTTTAGACTCTGAGTTGAAGGCTAAATCAGTTTGTTATTAATGTTTGTGAGATTTCTGCAAACCCTGGTTCCAATTCTACATAGTAAATATGAATTGTAACAAATGCACTCTCAATAGGCTCAACAAAATACACAATTTTTAAGTTTGGCTGCTGAGAAAAGCACAAACAAAGGATATAAACTACAACCAGAAATGAAATTCGCATTCTTTTGAGTTGAAAACATTATCAGATCATTAATTGTGCAGAGAAAAACACAAATTGCAGGCTCGAATGTTCTAATATGAAAACAAGATCTATACAGAAAATCAGAGAAAATTGGATAAGGATCTAGCTATGGGGGATCGGACTCACATGAAGAAGGAAGCGGTGAAGATGAGGCCGATGGCGAGCATCACGACGGCGAGAGTCGGATACCACGTGACCGCCACGGGACTGGCAATTGGCTTCGGAGCCTTGAGAACCAAAAAAACAAAAAATTGAAAACATCAAAGGCAAAATCAGTGAAACAGAGAAATGTAAGAGAAGTGCTTTTCGATCGTTTGACTTACCATGGCAGTTGGAGGTGAAGTAGAGAGAGAATTGGAAGCTGTTGTTGAAAGCTTGGGCTTTGATCTGTTCAGATCGAAAGCAGAGAGCAGATTTAGGCGAGTGAGAGAGGGGGCCTTCTCTCTCAGTCTATTTGACCCAGAAGACTAGAATCTGCTGGGTCTTCGGTACCAATCTCGTGGCTTTGGCGGGGTTTGGCTCAATCAGGACCGTTGATCTGTAAAAACAACGACATGTCGTTTAGTGGTTTCGGTTTCAGCAAATATATCATCACCATTTTCCAATTTTTTAAATTTGTTCCAAATTTATATTCATCAACATAAAAACACATAAGTTTTTCATCAACTAATTTAAATAAATTTTGGTCAATGTTTTTGATCATTTCATCAACCAATGTGATATATATATATATATATACCAAAAAGGGGAGAGATGCATATTATAGAATCATTTTATGGCACAAATTGTTCTGTACATTTTGGTAACGAGCATCCTTGATCTGAACACACAATTTATCACTGAATTTACAAAAAAAGAAAAGATTTCTAGTAGCCTCTGTCCAAAAATTTTGATCTTCAACTCTGACAATTCAGTAGCTCCTGTTACCATTTTGATGTGTTTATTGAGGTTGATCCAAATTGCATTTCCATTCAGCACAAGTGCACAACTTGCTTTATATCTCAGTTCCCATACTGCAGGCCATTCTTGAATTCTTGCCTGCAGCAGAACATGAAGTGAATGCCTGCTTTTTTACATGGGAAATCTGAGATTGGATCGAACAAGTAACCCATCATCGTAAAAAAGTGTAACTTTGCAAGCATTCAATGGGATCCTTGCCATAACTTCAACATAAACCCGTGCTCACTCACGCTGCCCCCGGATGATCTCCTCAGTCTCTCCCAGAACTGCTTACTCCTTCCTGTTCCCAGAGGACCTGAACTGGAGTGCCTCCTAAAGGATTCAGAATCTTGCCTCCCCCTGCTCATTGATGTACTGAACAGCTTCAACGGCGATCCTTCCCTCTCTGTCTCAAGATCGGAATCATAGGTAAGTATGGAGTATTGGCCTTGGAAAGTATCTGGCAACTGTCCTGAGGCAGTGCTTGCTTCAGCAGCCACATCGATGGACAAATCGTCTCGACTAGAACTCCTTGAACCTATTTCTTTTGCCTCATCAAACTCATTGCACACCAGTTTTAAGGCCTGAACAACTTCACCCATGAAAGGACGATGTGATACCTCCGGTTGTACGCACATTGAAGCAATAGCTGCCACTTTAGCAATACTGTCAAATGGGACATCTCCTAGATTTGGATCTATCATTGCTTCCAATCCTTCTTTACTTGTGAGGAGTGGCCGGGCCCATGCAACTAGGTTTTCTTCACCAGGTGGCTGTGACATGTCCACTGGTTTTCTTCCAGTTAAGAGTTCAAGAAGGACAACACCGTAGCTGTATACATCACTCTTGACAAGAAGATGCCCAGTCATTGCATATTCTGGAGCCACATACCTGAATATTATCATTAGGAATTTAAAGATGTCAGAAACTGCCAAAGGCACCACTGCGACATAATAGAGATGTTAAAAAAGTCTCCTCTAGGTCACAGGATATAGCATGCAATGGTGGTTAGTCAACAAAGGATGATCTAGAGGAACTGGAATACTTAATAGAGGCAATAAAAAATTTCATACCCAAAAGTTCCCATGACCCTGGTTGATATGTGTCTATTTTCCTCATCCATGGCGGTCCGTGCCAAACCAAAGTCGGACACTTTTGGAGTAAAATCATCTTCCAACAAAATATTGCTGGCTTTGAAATCCCTGTGTATGACACGGGGACTGGAATCCTCATGTAGATATGCCAGACCCCGAGCAGCACCAAGTGCTATCTTCATGCGGTGTGCCCAATTAAGTGGAGCAGTGTCCTTGTCAATTCCTAAGATCAAGCAAAATTGACAGAAGCATAGCTATGTCAAAAAGAATCCTTCAACATTAAAAAAGTTCATTAAGAATGGAACAATTATGAACAGCATTCAATAAACTCAGAACTAAGCCTAAACAAACAGACAAATAAGCTACCATGCAAATGAGATTCCACACTGCCATTAGGAATGAGCTCATAAACCAAGGAACGGCTATGCTCTTCTGTGCATATGCCAATCAACTTGACCAAATTTCGATGATGAAGGCGACTAAGCATCTCAACTTCAGCCAAAAACTCCCGACCACCCTGCTGATCGTCTCTTTTTAGAACTTTGACAGCAATCTTGGTCTCATCTTCAAGAACACCACTATAAACACGCCCAAAGCCACCTTCCCCAAGTATTCTTGAAGGGTCAAAATTGTCAGTGGCTCTCTCAATGTCACTTGCACTAAAAGTATTAGCAGATCCTGTATATGTTGCAATGCTAGATCCAAATGATAACGACACGGAACTGTGCCTACTTTCCATCATAGACCCAGCAGTACCTGCGAAATATATACATTATTTTCTATATTAGAAATGATAATGTAATCTAACCACTGGCCCATCTTAAAGATTAGAGTCTGCTTAAGGAACCTGCAAGGCCATACAGACTGACATGTGCACCTGACCTAATTTGATTAAATTTGCGGGATTCATATTACCTGATGGTTTGCCAACAGAAGGTAGCAAAGCCTGTGGAGTTGGTGTTGGTTCAGAAGCACGGTCTCCATGTTTGAACAGAAAAACCCAAGCAGCAGCAGAGCATAAAGCAACTGCTGCAAAGGTAGACAAAGCAATAATAGCAATTATCCCACCACTAAGCCCATTTTTATTCCTCCTCTTGTGCACATCAACCCCGAGGGGCTTTACCGTCCTTCCATTATTGTTGTTACCAGGATATGGTCCTTCATATATTACATCAACATCCGAAGATGGTGGAGATGGGGGTAAACCTATACATGTGTAGTTTCATGTAAAGATAAATGTTATTGATACAAATGCCTACAGTATGTATATGCATACGTATTGTATACTGTACCTGGATAGCGCACATATAGTACATCATAGTCACCAAAGTAGGATGCTTTTATAACAACTTGTTTATGCCAAAATCTCTGGGAAGTCAAAAATGCTGTGGTGTTATCAAACTTTTCTCCGAGGGGAACCAAGTCAATGAGGGCTACTGTCTTCTCTGGTTGCTGGGTAGCTGCATTGGCTCCAATAATGCGAACCTGACTTTGCTGCATAAAAACCCCGACAGCAATTTCCTGGGCTAGCTCTGAAACCAAGGGGAAGAAGGTATACAGAGCAACACTAAGTCGCAGTCCAACTTGCAAAGGCAAGACACAGCCACAAGGTGACCCAGGAGGGGTATTTGTATAGGGATCTGTGCAAATAGTTGATGAACAATCTACAAAAAGGAAGAACCTCTGCATTACATTTTAGTTTGAACTTTCAAGAAGAATATCGTAGGACCAACAAAGAGAGGAGAGACACCAGTAAACCGGTAAATAAATATTTTAGCTTAAATACCTTCATTGGGAGGTGGTGGTGGGAATGCTTGAACAAGTGGCAGGGGTGGCACTTTTGGGCTTTTTGCCGAAGACCCCGATGGAGAAAGCTTAGGGGGCACTTAAGATTATAAACATATAACTATCAGATAAGCTATTTAGTAGACAATAAGATAAATGAGTAAGTTCAGCAATAAAACAGAGAACCAGAGGCAAGAGCATTTCTTACTTTTGGTATAGTGAGGTGCATCTTTTAGAGACGGAGAAGGAGCAGGGGAAACATGGCTTAATGACGGAGTGACAGGTAAATGAGATGGAGGAACTGAAGACCCTGACATGTAGAAACTGTGTCAGCATTGAAAAGTCAGGTTTAATGTTGGGACCAAACAAAACAAAAATTCAATGCTTTGGTACCTGGATTTAGGGGTGGAGAACCATAGTGTCTTTGCCTGCCTGTTTGAAACGATGCTGGTGAGATCACTGGACCTGTATAAAGTATTGAAATGATAATCTAATAATGAAAAAGAACATTACAAGCCACAGAATAGTATTTTTATCTATGTGATTCAGGCGCATGGAGTTCAGGTGAAACATTAAACCTGGCTGTTTTGAAGTGGAAGGAGAAACCAGATATGATGGTGTAAGAGCAGGACTGGTGACTTTGTTCCTCACATGATGATTCTTATACGTTGAAGGTGAAGATGCAGGAGAACTATGCCCCTTATCAAAAGGAGGTTCAGGGGATGAATCAGACGGTGCAGGAGCAAACTTATAATGTCTCACGGGTTTGCGGACAGCAGGAGCTACAGTAGAAACAGAACCTAGAGTTATAAACTTGACAACAGAAACTTTCAAGTAGCAACTAATATGAAACATGTAGTTTTTTAATACCTTTAGCTGGGGTATGGCCCATGGGTATTGCTGGCTTGGGAGCTTCATATGATGGTGCAACAACTGGTATTCGACCCTTTTTCCAGTTAGTGCTGGAGGGAGGAGATGATACCACAGGTTTGTGAACGGAAGGAGCTACAGCAGAAAACATAACCAAGAATTAGAAGGTTGACAGCACAAACTCCCATATAGAAACCAATAGGAAATATGCAACATTTTTCTATACCTTTAGCTGGGGTATGGTCCATGGGTAGTGAAGGCTTGGGAGCTTCATATGGTGGTGCAACAGCTGGATTCCTTTTCCAGTTGATGCTGGGGGGAGTAGATGATGCAGGAGAGACTTCAGGATCTGCAACCTCATATTAGGGCCGGTCAATTATTACAATGGTTAGAATATAATTGTTGAAAACTTCAGCGGTATCGTAATTTAAGACCAAATAGAACACTGATTTTCTGTAATCTCATATTGGGGCCAGTGAATATACAAATTGTTAGTTATTCAAATGACAGGAATGATCAAACACACTCAGTGGCACGTTTTCACAAACAGCCAAATCACGAATAATGATATTGAAATTAAATTTGGATATGAAGTCCAAAGGTTCAAGGTTAACTGCTAAAAGGACAACAATTCAATGAAGGTATTAAACTGATTCAACTGGGTATCACAATGTGAATATTATAACCATAGTTTTCTACTATGCTCTTTCTGAAGTAGTACCAGGAAATGTGGATGGAGATTCTCCAGGTGTAACTGGGTGAATGGACGGCGAGTTTTGTGGTGATTTGCTTGTTGGTGAAGCAACTGGTACTGCATTTTCAGAGAAAAGAACAAATGGATCAATTTAACTAGTTCCTATAATATAAAGATTATATGTGACATTTTTTCAAAAAAAAGAAAAAAAGGAACAAGGCGCACCAGGTAATATAGGTGGTGCTATATTCGGTGTGCTCGGATGCATCACAGGTGGATTTGGTCCCAATGTCCTCGGCAATGACGAAACAGGTGCTGTATTTTTGCAACAAAAAAAAATGTAAAATACTGCTTATAACCAGTATCTGAGATCTAGTAATGTCATGACAAAATACTACATCTACCTGGAGCAAGTGGCTCTGGTATGGGAACCTTATTGTCTGGCGCATGTCTTTGATGAGCACTTAATGGTGATGTGTCTGGTGTACTTGAATGGATGGCTGGTGAAATTTGTGGTAATGTCCTCGAAGGTGTTGCAATGGGTACTGTATAATACGATACAACAAATATTTGGTTGGAACCAATTCAACAGAAATTCATCATAGAAATAGCCCTGGTGGTTTATCTACCTGGAGCAACTGGCACTGAGATTGGACTCTTATTGACTGGTGCCTTTGTTTGAGGAGTAGGTGGCACAGATGGTACATGACCTTCGACACTCAGTGGTGGAGAAGCATTATTTGGTGGCACAGGCGGCACATGACCTTCAACACTTAGTGGTGGAGGCGCATTATTTGGTGGCACAGGTGGTACATGACCTTCAACACTTGGTGGTGGAGGAGCATTATTTGGTGCCACAGGCGGGACATGACCTTCAACACTTGGTGATGGAGGAGCATTATTTGGTGGCACAGGCGGTACATGACCTTCAACACTTCGCGGAGGAGGAGCATTATTTGGTAGCATAGACGGGACATGACCTTCAACACTTAGTGGTGGTGAAGCATTATTTGGTGGCACAGGCGGGACATGACCTTCAACACTTGGTGATGGAGGAGCATTATTTGGTGGCACAGGCGGTACATGACCTTCAACACTTCGCGGAGGAGGAGCATTATTTGGTAGCATAGACGGGACATGACCTTCAACACTTAGTGGTGGTGAAGCATTATTTGGTGGCACAGGCGGGACATGACCTTCAACACTTAGTGGTGGAGGAGCATTATTTGGTGGCACAAGCGGTATATGACCTTCAACACTTGGTGGTGGAGGAGCATTATTTGGTGGCACAGGCGGGACATGACCTTCAACACCTGGTGATGGAGGAGCATTATTTGGTGGCATAGGTGGTACATGACCTTCAACACTTCGCGGAGGAGGAGCATTATTTGGTGGCACAGACGGGACATGACCTTCAACACTTAGTGGTGGTGAAGCATTATTTGGTGGCACAGGCGGGACATGACCTTCAACACCTGGTGATGGAGGAGCATTATTTGGTGGCACAGGCGGTACATGACCTTCAACACTTGGTGGTGGAGGAGCATTATTTGGTGGCACAGACGGTACATGACCTTCAACACTTAGTGGTGGACGAGCTGCATCATCTGGTGGCAGCACTTCGGGAATACTTGGTGACAAGGATGGTACTTGTCCCTTGATCTTTTGGGGCACTGGGGCAGACATAAGAGGTGGCATCGCAGGCGGAGGGTGCAAATCTGACCCTAGATTGTCAAATTAGGAGCTTAAGCAGATGTCTAAACTTCTAAATCTACAACAGCAGAGTTATGGGACTTACCATTTGGCTGTAATGCGGGGATTGGTACATTGCTTGTGAATGACTTTCTGTGAGAGAGAGGAGCAGGTGCTGTTTCAATAGGAGGATTCACAGAGAGAGGTTCTGGCGATGGTGATAGATTTAACCCTGAGAGAAGGTGAAGGCCGGTGCTTATAAGAAGAAAACTAAAGCAAGCTATGAAAATGTGATATCTTAAATCCCTTTTATATTACCATTCTTGTTATGGAACAATATATACTTTATAGTTACGAGGCATTTCATCAGATGAAACCTCAATGGTAAGGCATTTCCCAGATCAAGATGAAACCTGAACTAAAATAGAAGTTGCTAAATGACCGTGCTTCTTGGGACATTGTAATTTCGAAAACAAAATATTACAATTCCAGGCCATCAGTACACTAGATGGCCCACTAGCTGTGAGCTCTGGTCTAAAATTATACTCGGGCAGAATTTGAAAACAATTCAATAAGATGAGAACATGTTCAGATTGGTCTAAAATTATACTCAGGCAGAATTTGAAAACAATTCAATAAGATGAGAACATGTTCAGATCGAAGAAGATGCCGAAGTTCGAATAATTTGATCTCTTTTCTAATATACTTCATATATCTATCAGAACAGAACATATATGTGAATACAGCATTTGATCACACTCCTGTGCACCACATTATTGGGCTTATAAACAACAATAGCGACATGAAAATTCAGAAACCCAGATCAATAACAATGCTGCTAAAGCACAAAAGCTTTAAAATCCATATGAAAGTTAACAACTTAATCCAACAGTTCTAATAATGCTTATATGATTAAGATTTGTAAAGGTTAAAATTTACCTGCAGATCCTTGGAGAGCTAAAGCAAAGCCAATGACACAGAGATTAACCAGCTGGAAAATGGCTGGCATCACCACCCCCATCCCATAAACAGTTCTAATAATTTTACTCTCTACCCCAGCCTCCTCAACGATGAAGAAGAGATTAGAGACCAATAAAATAATAATAAAATGAATAAATTAATCTCTATACTATGAGTTGTAACTTGAAGCAAGATGTAAAGGGAGATTAAATTAAACAAGTCTCACAAGTAGTGAGAGCAAAGCAATGAGAAGGCAGCTTATGGAAAGACCCAGAATTGGGTTTGGTGAAAATAGCTGAGGGAACTAATCCTCTAGCTTTCTGGGAACTAAAGCTCTGAAATTTGCAGAGCTTTGGGGTGTCCATGAAAGACAGAACCTTTCCAGCAGACATGAGTAACAAAACACAACTGGAAATTATGAAGTGAACCAGAAAAACAAATTTTTATTTTAATATACACCCAACAAACTTGCAGTGCTAAAGTAACAAACTTTGCAAGAAGAGAGATGTACTCGAGTGGGGTAGAGAGAGAGAGGCTGGCAGAGATTCTTGGCAAATATTTAATAATAGTGGGAAGGCCAAATTGATGTTTAATGGGGAATGAACCAAAGTACAAAATTTTCATTTGGGGTTGAAATTCTTGGGTTTTTGTTTTTAATGGTTTTTACTTGACTCTCATTTTCTTCTTGGTTAGCGTTTGTTCTTGTAAAGATTAAGCCTTTTGGATGTGGTGTGTCAAAATCAGGGTTTGACACATCACCCTCTCTCCATGATCTGGATAATTCAACCTTTTTTTAATACAAGCTTTATATATTAAATACTCTTGTATTATATTCTACTACTGTATGGTTTGGCAATCAGCATCCGCATAAGATAGAAAGTAATTTTCTTTTTGGTTGAGAGATTTGATGGATTGAAGTAGAAGCCTTTCTTCTTCATCTTTTTCTTTGGGTGGGCTAGAAAGTAAAAGGAAACAAAGATGGCCAAGCAGTTTTGTTAGTTGCATATAATTATCCAGACTTTGGACCCATAATACATCTTTTAGCAATTTTAGATTTCAGACTTTGAAAATGAAAAACTTAAAGAAAGAAACCACCTTTTTTTTTCTTGCTGAATTTTGTATCTTACAACAATTGGCCAATCCATTCCTGACATATGCTGCAATTATGAATGAGAAGCCATCTCTTCCCTCTCAAAAGGGTTGAGATGAGTGTCCATTTATGGGGTCCATACTCTTAATGCAGACCCCCCAAACTACCTTGTAGACTTCAGAGGAAGATGATGATTCTAACATTATGTCTCTTCTTAAATGGCTGACTCAATTACTTTGTTAAAAAAAAGTAACTTAAGCTACTTTAAATTAAAATCAAATTTGGGTGCACGGGACCAACTCAGTGCCATACCCAACTAACATAACTTACGTTTACAATAATTTTAATTCTGGTGGTGAAATTAGAAAAAGACAATGAGCCACATACTAAACACGTTGCTATGAATGGAGCCCACCCTGGTGGTGGTGGTGGTTCACTTTGTCCAAAGCTGTTGCAGATTATGGCTCGTGGGTTCCCTACCTATCAAACTCTGTGGACTATGGTGGTTGGGTTGTGTTTGGGTTGTGCGGTGCAATCCCATGACGAATTTTGACAGTGACAGTGGTGATGATGATTATGATGATAGTGTATTTGTGATGATGCACACTTTTTAGAAAATATGCATCTAAACAAGTCGACAACCAATCTAAGCACACGCATGTTTAGGCTTCAACATGTAACAATAATTTATAACTCATTTTAATGGCCTACAAAGTAGTTTTTCATCCGCATAAAAAATCAAGTGTAGTTTTTCCTCAAGATCAAATCAGATAATAGTCCAAAAAAACATGTGATAATATCTCAGTCAGTGAGTCTGTGACTCATGCAGAAATTTGAATGGATAAACTATTACGATTAAATTGGACGGTGGTCAGAAAATGGAAAAGGTCTAAAAGAAGGCACACCTTGCCTAAACTGTTGGACGCACAAATTCAGTTGCTAAAATATACTTCAACTTCAACTTGTACTATTGGGTTCAATATGCTTTTTTTTTTTTCCTTTTCTGTTGATATAAAGCGATATTAGAGGGGGGAAAATCGAACATACGACGTAAGATATAAGAATAAATGCTTTTAATCACTTGAGTTATAAGTCTCTTTAACTTGAAAACTATTGACTTTGTGATCAAGTATAAGTCCATCTCCACAGATTTATCAGAAAACGAACAATTTGTGGAAATCATTACCGTTTTTGAATGCGTCAACCATGGCTTTTAATCAGACAAGTAAACTATTATGAGCTTATGGGATGTAGACAAAGGCTCTGAACTCCCACCCCACATGATGGATGATAATGACAGCGGGTTTTGTTTTTGTTGGGATCTCTCTTGCTTTATCACTTCACGGACTAGAACACGTCTGAAACTATGAGCCCCACATGGCATCATCAAAAACTCAAAATTGGGTTTCATTATATCGCAATGATTTCTCTTCTCATGTAGAGGTGCAAAGCAACTGCCCTTGTGATCCAATAGTTTTCTTGTTTCTCACTCCATCTGTGTTCGAGTGATGGCCTGTTATATTTTTCACGACCTAAAAAGAAAAAGGCAACGTCACTGTTTCACCATAAAGCTTTCTTTGTATATCCATCAACACAGAGGCTTCTAGGTGAAGCCGTTTTCTTTTTCTTTTCCTTTTTTTCCCAACGAAGATTTACAAGCGAGAAATTTGAGAAAGGGAACTCGAACACAGAATCTTACAATTCAGTTTCACTTATACCATAAGAAGATTGGCACTTTGGGACCATCCCAGTATAGCTTATTCTTTAGTTTTAGTTAATGGGGGGGCATTTGATTTCTTTGTTTCTCAATGAATAAGGCTGAAAAGAATTATTCTTGCAATGAATATTCCTTGCCCACTCTGGTAGGCAGACTCCTAAGTCCTACCTAACCAAAGTCTCTCAACAAGCTCTCTAATGGCAAACAGAGATTGTTATAATTTTCTGGCCCCTGAGAGCGTGACACTTGCACCTACTATCAGAGGCTAGGACCACAATAGAGCTGACTTTTTTGGTCATTTCAGAAGTTTCTGGTTATCAGGATTAGATTTCTAAGTAAAAAAATCATTGAAATGAAAAGAAGCATAATCAATTATTATATGCCTAATTTTATTCTTGATCGCATTCCGGAAGATGTTGGCCATAGCGTTCTCAGCTTTGCATCATTCATTCCACATGCAATCAACCAAAAAGGAAGAAAGAAATGCCTCTTGGCTTCAAGCTTCAAAATGGAATTCAATTATTGAGTCTCAACTGCCACAAAACTGAAAAGAGCTTATAGTTAAAAGCATTATATAATATGCTTGACATCGAAGCCGTGTGACAGAGTGAAGATAGTAGAAAATTACAAGGCCGGATGTAGATACATAACAGACATCTCAATTCCAAATGCGAAAAATATTATACGATATGAGAGAACATAGAAAAGAAAAGGGAGTTTCACTAAAACACCCAAAATGGAGGTTGAAATTATAAAAAAACCCAATACCCAAAACACTTTATAAACACACCCAAAACCCATCATTAAACACTCAAAACCCATTTATAAACACACTAAAAAAGTTGACTTTGGGGTTGATTTTGGGTGTGTTTCTATGTTTAAATAGTACTTGGGTTTTTTTATAAATACATGTCTAGGATTGGGTTTATTTATAAATTTGTAAAAAGAAAATAGGCATCAATCAGCACTTGGGTTAAACTTACTGGACTCGTTCTCATCTTTGGACACTCTGCGAAAGTTGAAATAGCCAATAAGTATTCAGTTGGTGCACTAAGGCCACCTCTTGATCTCACGAGAATGAACCGTCGACAAGTTGTTCAGGAAGCATCAGGAAGCATTAGAGAACATCTGGGATTAGTTGTCAAAATTGAGCAACCTTGAAGTGACAAAACAATGACATACATTGAGCAATCTTGTCTTTGGTTCTCAAAATTGGTAAGAATATGGATGCTAAGGACTACGGAGGTTGGTGGACGTCACCAGTAGACAAAGAAATTGCAAAGGACATTCAAGATATCACATCACGCCACAAATTTATGACTCTCAGTCCTAGTTCCTTTTGAGAGAAATTACTTATTTGGATCAAATTCTTCAAATCCACTCTTGAAATCTCCCGCCATCTTGGCTTCCTCTTCTTTGCTATCTGTACAATTCCTCCAATCAGCCCTGTCAGCCTTGTTCAACAAACCTGCTATAACCTACAGAACATTTCATTTGCCATTGGATTTCAACCTTCTGAATGTCAGGAAAGGAATTGTCAGATTACAAATTACCAGTAGAATTTATGATCTTACCTCGCGTCCAAATTGGGGTAGGAATCTCTCATTCTCCTCAATTGAATGAGACAGGATTGTACCATCAGGGAGCTGAACATAGAAGAAACTGAAATTTCTGTCGAATTGCGTCCTTAACATTTTCCTCCCATCAGAATTGTTACCAGCTGCAACGAAGAGAAGCATCAATTAAAGATGCAGTACAGGCCAAAAAGAACAAAAATTTAAAGATGTAGTAGAAGCTAAGAAAAATCAGAAGTTTGACATGAACACAAAGCATAATCAAAGATCCTAGACAATGCATGCAACAAATTTGCACTATTATTTTACATTTCATAGTCTCAAACTTGAAGCTCAACTTTTCTGCAGCTAAGTTAAATATATTTTGAACAGCAGCTGATTTGGCTGATGGAACAGGAACGGCCTATACAAAAGAACAAGTGGGGTAAGTAATTCATCCATGAAACTTTATATATAAACATTTGCAACACAGATCCTTACCTGAAGATTAGCATGAGTTGTACGTTTCGAAGCCCACTCAAAGAAAACAACGTCCTTCCCTTGTTTTTTATAATACTGCTTTAGAGCATCCTGGAATTTACCAAGCTCAATTTCGCATTCTGCGGGTAAAGAAAGGGTGTTGGGTAAATGGCCTATAGGAATTAGCAATACGTGGTCTTCAACAAGCGGACCTTTAGCAAGGGCACAATAGTAATGCTCCCCTATGCTGATAATTAGATGTGATTCTACTTTGGGGCTTGACAAACAAAACCAGCACTCTGTTGACCTGCATGTGAGATCAAACTCAATGTTACAACAAAAACAAATAACATCTTGAACCTCATTGGCCTGCTCAATAAGCATCAAAAAGGTGTTATTCAGAGTCGGACCTGTTACTGTTGGCATTTCCAGATCCACGTCTCTGGTGAGAATTGCTCTCACCTTCAGCCTGTAAGCTGTGCTTAAATTTGCAATCTGGACCCCTTTCACATTTTCCTTTGTTCATAAAATCGAAACAAACACCCCTCAAAGATTGTTCTCTTGCATCTACATCATGCTGAAAGTTGCAATTTTCCCCTCGAGGACAAGAGCCAGAGGATACAAACTTAAAACACAGCCTATTACCATCCCCAGCTCCATGTTTCTGCCTTTTTTGGTTGACATCATATCTCCAGTACTGTGAATCAGAAATGCTATCGCTAGACCTCTTTCCAGCTTCTGTTGCATGATCTGTTTTCTCCCCATATGTGTATGGAGATAAGGTAGTGGTTGGTGACTTTGTACTAATCTCAACAGTAGACATTGTGGATGCTGGAGTAGGAGAAATTGCATGAATAAATTTCTGAGGAGCAAAGACAAATACAAAGGGTTATCAAAGTTATATTTAAGGGCATAAAATGAAGATGTAATGACAAGCAGCTGAAGGATATTATCCAACACAAAAGAGAACAGCATGCGTATCAATTCATCCCAAGACCAAATAATAAGTAAAATAAAAATGTTAACATAGAATTTATGAATATAATTTGAAATTATGCTGAGATAACTAGCCTGCTTATCTTTGTTTCCAACCGGAGCAAGGCCCAAGAAGCGGGTCACATGCACAGCATCGACATTGGAGTAAGGTTCACGTGCATAGTACACGCCTTTCGTACCTGCAATATGATAGCTACCACAGAAGATGAACTTTGATCAGAATCATAGAGTTGTTGCTACTGTTCTCTGAAAATACAAAACTTATTATGTTTGCTACTATATGCCATTGAGGAGAGTATTAAAAATGACATGACATGCAATAACATCCAAAATTTCGTACCGCGGTTTGATCTCGGCTACTAACTCTGCCACAGTAGAGTCACTGCCAAAAGGCTCAGAGGCTCCAGGAGGAACATCGGATGCAGCTGCCCTATTAGTGATCCCGCTTGGCCATTTGTTAGTAATAATCAGTCAAAGAAATCACACAAATGGTCCGAAAACTGAAAAATGCAGCAAGAAAGAGCATGTAACGGATACCAAATGAGCTTCTTTCTCATTCTAAAGTAACACATAAGTAATTTATAACAAAACAAGGATATGTTAGAAACAAGTCAATAATTCCAGGCTCCTCAGCAACCGCTCGCAACACATCAACATCATCCTGGCTATATGTCCCAAACTGTTGACCATCCGAACATTGGAGACCAGATAAATACGCCACAGATAACCCTAACAATGAGTGCCAGTAATTAGCTATAAACAGAAATGAAACTATCAGCACATATCCTAAAATAAAGCAAACTCCCATAAGCTATTACAACCCTTACACATTCCTCTATTATTCCCACACCCAATGACTCTAATCCCAAAGCCGTATATTAACACTGGCCTTTAATCAGACTTAAGTGTGACCCAAGTAATTCCTAGTTAAGCTGAGCAACAACTAATCCGATCTTAAGCAAAATATAGCAAACGTAAGCTAATGGAAAACGCACTCAGCTAAGCTTAATACAACTGATCATCAAACTTAGAGTAAGCTGCTGAATTCTATTTAAGCACAATTTTCAAACCAAAATTTTCATCTCCAGTTCCCTCCATTTTTGCATGCCCATAAAAACAAAGTTATCTCCTTTATTTTTCCCAGTACCAAGCAGAGACTTAAGATGATACCATGGAGCTTAAATTTGCCACTGCCTTTCAACCAGTAGAGATTGTTGCATATCTTCAAGCCGTCCAATTTGAAGCCTTGGTTCCCGGAATCTTTCGTTGCGGCTAAGAGTACCTTAGTGGCGGCAACGCCATAGTCTCCGATGAAGTAGGTTGGGAGAGGAATTTGTGCCCGGCCTTCAATGTAGTCATTGAACTCGTCGAGCTGGTCCGCCGAGTCGGGGAAGAACTGGCCCACGCAGAACAAAGCGTCGAACGGACCCGCTGATTTGTTGACCTAGAACAAGTTAACTCAGTAAGAATCAGAAATCGAAAATTAATTGAGCTAAAAAAAGATACAGAGGTAGAGATAGAGATATATATATATACCGAAGCGACTCGTTTAAAGAGCTGCTTGAGGTGGCCCAAAACGTCGCCGCAGAGTAAAATTTTCGGAGGAGCCATGGGAAGGAGTGAGACTGAAAGAGGCGGGGTCTGGAGGATGAAGACGGAAGATGGATGGCGAGTTAATGGGCCTGAGGTACTCGGCGCGCTTAAGCTTCTGCTATTTTGGGCTTTGGAGGGCAGTTGCTTTGTGGCCCAATTTTAGGGCCTTGTAAAAATCATTTGGAACTTTTTTGTTTATTTATTTATTTTATATAAAATTTTAAGTGTATTCTGAAAATAAAAAGTGGCAACATTTCACTAATGGCCCCTGCAGTTATCTGAACTTTCATTTTTGTCCTTGTACTTTTTATTTTTTAAGTCTCATCTTCTGTTTCCACTTCAATCTCATCCGACGATGAAGTTGATTTTTCATCCATTTTTGTGCAAATATTCTAATGTCAATTTTTTTTTTCTTCATGTTATTTAAGAAAATTCTTTGGGAATTGTTAATCTTTGATTTTACTCATAGGTGGAGTGATTGGACTTTTGCATCTTTCTTAGGGTTTGATCTTGAAATTTCAAGAATTGAAAGTACTCTTGAATCTTTCTTGGGTTCTTCTTTGTGACTAAACCCACAAGTCATTTGAATCGATATGAATTTTTCAACAGAATAATCCAACTTAGCCAAAGAGTAATGATTTATGCTTGTACATTTCTGACTGCTTCAATATTATAACCAAAAAAAATCATTGAAGAATACTTTTCCAAGGAATATAATTACCAAGAGTTTCCAAATTTTCATCATGAGTGGCTCGCAAGTTTCTCTGGGAAATTTGTATTTTATTACATTTTCATCTAAATTCTTTTGAAAAACTGGGTGATAAAATGGAAAATGTGTTCATCACTGATTGAAAATTAGCCTAAAGATAATGTGGTCCAGTCTAATTTAAGCAAATGATACTGTGTCACATTGTTATTGACTTATATATCAATTAGAGCACATGCTGGTCAAGTGTGAATGCAGAAAAAATAGAACAATTTAAGTTAGGAACAAAAAAAAACCCTTAAAGTACAAGGTGTGGTGTGATTGGCAAACTACCGCTTCCAGCTGGCGAGCTACTTAGTATCTTAATGGTAGAGGTTCGAAACCATTGGAACCACTTTGTAGTTAGAGGCAAGTCGAACTCCAAGCGGGGATTAATTTCACCCTTCGAATGTGGGGACACCTCGTGGTATTTACAAAAAAAAAAAAAAAAAACCCTTAAATATATGTTGATTGCATACGGGATCACATTGACTGCTGACCCAAGTCTTGGTCTTCGTTCCGCATATTTAATCATTCAATAATATTTAGGGCCAGTTTGGTATTGTATCTCTTTCATATTTACTGCATGAGAAATCAACTGTAAAGTAAAGTAGTTTGACGTTTGGTAAACTATTTGTTAGTACAAAAATTAGTTTCACTTTTTATCTTTATACAATTCTTTTGGTAAAATAAAAAGCACTTTCACTTTTGATCTTTATACAATTCTTTTGGTCGCTTAGACAATTTCCACTTCCATCTTGGTGCAACAAAGACATCTATAAAGAGATAAGCACAATCATATCAATGCTATGCTGTGTAATTGTGACTGACTTACAAACCAACTAATTACCTCTGTCAATTAGCCTCAACAGAGCAATTCATTCTACATTATAGATTTCCAAGGCTAATATAAAAATCCCACATCTAGACAAATTTCTGCCAGTTTCTGAAATGATTCACCTAATATAACTAGTTACAGATGCAGGCTAGAGTCTCAAAGAGACATTGACTACTTGAGAGAGAGAGAGGGAGAGAGAGAGAGAGAGAGAGAGAGAGAGAGAGCGAGTCTGAGAGAGATGAGTATTAACATTTGGATAAACAAACAAAATTCTCCTGAGCACTTTTCTGGATACAGAAAGCATATATTGCTAGCAGCTGCCTAGCTCTCTGCAAATTTGTTCAATTTTTATCTGCTGATCACATGCTTCTTCTTTTTTCTTTTTTCTTTTTATTTTTTAATAATTTTTTTTTATTTAAATTTCTGCATAAATGTGACTCTTAAAATTTCTGAAATATTGTCTGTTTTAGACTATAAGGTAAGAAGAAGCACATGGTTTATTATGTACATTAATGTTATACCAACCACACATGTACTTTTTTTTTTTTTTTTTTTTTCTTACATAAGAGAAAAGCGTATTTGAACATGAAATCTCATATGCAACCGCTTGAGTTGCAAGTCCCATGTACCCCACAAAATGTAATTAAAACACTAGAAGGTGATGCAACTCTACAAACGTCATCTTTTCTCTTTTTATCTTTCTTTCGGGTGGGAGAAATAAATTCTTAACTAAATTTTCCACAGAAACACTCATCTTTCTTCCCCAACCATCTTCCTTTCTCTCATTGGAGGTATTTTGGCTGAATGGAACAATCAACACAATTATTATCAATAATTGCTCACCCATTTCATTGACAAGAGATGAAAACCTACCCAACAATCAACAAAATAGAAATCTCTATCGTTGCTTCACAAACTTATCTTTTGTACTTCAACCCATCACCAATCGGATAATAGAATCAATATTTCGCCCTGTTTTTTTCCAGCAATAACAAAATCCAATCTTTGTGTCATGTTCTTCTGAAAAATTAGGTGATAAAATGGAAAATACGTTCACACTTTCATCATTGAAAATTAGGTTATTGACTCATATATATCAGTCAATGCACATGCCGGTTAAGTGTGAATGTAAAAAAAATAGAACAATATAAGTTAGAAAAAAAAAACCCCCCTTAAATATATGTTGACTGCATACACGATCACGTTGACTGCAGACTCAGGTCTTGGTCTTGGTCTTGGTCTTCTTTCTACTTATTTAATGTTCAATAATATTTAATCGTTGATTAAAATAATTTACTGGGTCTATACTTTGTAAAAGTCGATGGAATGACATGATGGACTCTTTCCTTTTTCTTTCTTCAGACACACAGCGTTCCTCGACCTTTCGTTACAAGACCATAAGTCACCTTTTGAAAATATTGAATTTAAAGTAGTCTTTTTTTTTAAAGGGTGTCTAATCTGCATAAACGTGACTTAAAATTTCTGAAAATATTGTCTGCTTTGGACTATCAGATAAGAAGAAGCACATGGTTTCTGTACATTAATGTTACACCAACCACAAAAGGTACTATCTTTATATATTTTTTGACATAAGAGAAAAGGGCATTCGAAACGAATCTCATACACAATCATTTGAGTTGCAACTCTCATGCACCCCACAAAATGTAATTAAAACACTGTAAGGTGATGCAACTTGTTCTACATACTATACGAATGTCATCTTTTCCTTTTTGTCTTTCTTTCGGGTGGGAGAAATAAATTCAGAACTTAAATTTCTCCAAAACTAGATGGATTATAATGACCATTTTGCCCATAATAGTAATTAGTTAACTCCTCCTATCCTAAGCTACAAAGATGCGCTGTCCATGCATGCGGTTATAGGTAAACCTAGTTAGTATCCTTGCTGTCAATGATAAACAAACAGTTGTATAAATTGTCCATATTGCTTAAATCTTTGTTTTCTAAATTGCAAAAGTCTTCAGCGCCATAATCGATTGCATCTTGATGTTGACCTTTATCTGGAGGCCACATGTGTAAATTGTAATTCATGATCTAAGTCAAAGTTAGGTTGGAGAGATGTCCTTCAATTATATATTAGTTCGTTATCACACTGCTGATCACTTTACTTCATTTTAATGGTAATAGCACGCATATTCATTTGAGGTAATAACTCAAGACGATGAATTACTCTTTACGTTATCATAAGTAACAACAAATGCTACCCTATTCATCTTAATTATCACTCATGTTGAGTTTTCATGGCGGGATATATGATATTAGCACTAAACATCACCTCCGGATATGTCATATTTTGTCTAATACGAGCTATATATGTTCAGAAAATAGTGGAAAAGTTGTCAACATGATCGAGTTGATTTAGGACATGTTCGGAACAAGTGGGAACCTTGCTGCAATTACTATTCATATAAAACATGTCCTAAATCAGCTCAACCAAAATTAGGAAAGTTACCGATAATCACTAATAAAAAAAATGCGTTATTTATTATAATAAATAACAATTTGAATTAAAGTAGTGTATGCAAATCATCTGACAATGAAAAGGAAGAAAACGAGAGAGTGTTGAAGAGTATGGAAAACAACAAGGTGAATCTGACATATACATATAAACTCATACATATTTGATAGAATTAAAATAATATCGCCTAAAAACATAGTCTTCCCAACATGAACTTGTCATTCACCAGCGAATTTAAGATGATATAATAAGGGGATACAATCCAATCCCCTCTTCCTAAAGATTTATTAATATAGTTTTATTGGGCTGATAAGTTATAATTTATGCATCAACCTACTGTGAAAAATAATAAAAGGAGGGGCCCTCCACCCCGACATTGTTTCCTTCGAAATTCACTACCAAACAAAAACGTCACCTCTCACCTTTATATAAATGTCTCCACTTCATCCGAGCAACAACACAACACACGCAGAAAAAAAACACAAAAAACCCATCTCTCTCTCTCTCTCGCTTCTTCTCTTTCTCTCTGAAACTCACAAGATTAAAGTGAAACGCCAGAGAGAAACACCATGGCAGACCCAGCAACGTCCTCGTTTTTGTCCATCATGATCAGCTGGTTCACGCCCACCTCTCTATTCCTCTTCGTCAACCTCGTGATCGGTACCATCGTTCTCTCCTCTCGCTTTGGGACCCACAAAAACCCTGAACAGCAGCATCAAGATCAGCTCACTCCTCACAGCTCGCACCAGCTCGTCCGTACGCCTTCGCTCTTGGACCGGGTCAGGTCCTTCGACTTCTCACACTTCAAGTTCGAACAACCCAACCCGGAACCCGAACACGTGGCACCAGAGCATGTAAACCCAGCCGGGTTAACTCGGACTCCCTCGCTCTTGGAACGGCTCGGGTCGATGGATTTCTCCACTCTGTTGAGATCGGAAAAGCCTGACACAGAAACTAGACATCTTGACCCGAATGAGTCCGAGCACGAGACCCATGATCCGAACCCGAGGAGAGAGAATTTGGTTCATCGGAGCAAGTCGGAGTCGAGTGGTGGAGCTCCGGCGCACCATCACGAGCAGATAAGAAAGTCTGTTAGCGAGAAATCGCCGCTGGGAAGGGTTGAAGGAAACGACGACGTAGGGGACGACAGAAGGCCGAGGGTGGAGAAAACGAGGTCGTTTGGGGGCGACGAAGGGGTTGACGCGAAAGCTGATGATTTTATCAACAGGTTTAAGCAGCAGCTCAGGCTGCAAAGGCTGGACTCTCTCTTGCGTTACAAAGAAATGCTTCAAAGAAAATAAAAAAACAACAAATAATTGTAGTAGGTATTTTCTTCTTAAATTTTAATTTTCGGGGTTTTTTTTTTTTTCCTCAAGGTGGGTTTCGTTGGCTGTGATGTGAGATTGTAAGTGTCACCACCTTTTTCATTTTTCTGAATATTAGTATTTTCCTGGAACCGAGGCCTTTCATGGTGTTCAAATTCAAAGGGTCACAAGGCAGCTGAGAAAACTCAAATCTCAGACCAGTTCGTCAACAAAATTAAATATTAATAAAAGAGTTGAGAGTAGGTACGTTTTATAACCCCATCCCATCTTCAGTTCCTACGAGTTATATATGAGCTCTCTGCCAAATTAATATGTTTGATTACTTACTGCATGCTTGGCTTTATTTTGATAATGAAAGACCATTAAATAAATTGCTTTTTAATTAAATCTTTCCTGATGGATAACTTAAAATTTTCAACAACAAAAAATCATTCATCAAAATATTAATAAATACGGTATGGATATCCTCTTTATTTAGTAGTAATTCTCTTTCCAATGCCCATTGTGCTACACAAATTAGTTACGTTGACTATTGTGTGTGTGTCTATATATATATATATATATAGAGGTGCTTACGTGGTATTAATTATTCCATTGAAAAAAAGATAACATGACACACGTGGAGCACATTTTATTTAAGTACAATAAAATATTATTCATATTTAAAATTGAATTTAAAAAGAAGGAAAAAAAACAAGACTGACAAAAGCGAATTTGGATGGAATGGCAAATAGCACCACTCTTTGTCCATATAAATTTACTCCACAGCAAATTTGGATATTAAACTGACAAGAAAACCCAAACAGAAACGGGCAAAAATTTGGATCCTTACCAAAAAACAAAAGACAAGAATGTGACATTCAATGACGAGTTAACCTCGACTTTCTTTTCAGTATTTTCATGTTTAGACAGCGCTGTTCTGCTAGCATCTGAACATGCACAGGACCGAACCAACTAGGTCTTACGACAATTCGATATTTGCGTTTTCATTTATTATAAATTTGGCTTACATCCTCCAAATTGATATGGATGGTTTGATGAGTTCATACTTTATTGTTGTTAAAAAGAAGTTATATATATATATATATATATATATATACACAGGCGCGCAAAAAAAGAAAGAAATAAAGTCCACAAAGCAATATAAATAGCAATTGAAACAATCTTATTATTATTTTAAATTAAAATTATTACATATGCAAGACATAATTTGTCATTTATTTTTTTGGAGCAAGACATTCATGCCGCATGCAGCTAGGCAACAATTCCCAATCCCTTAATTAATATGATTATTTTTGGAGCAGCTCTCATAACATGAATCCACGAAGCCTTTCACATAGAGCTTATCTACAATACATGCAAATAAAAACAAAATACAAAGAATATCAATGACCGAAATATAATTCAAAACAAACATGAGAGAGAGAGAGAGAGAGAGAGAGAGAGAGAGAGAGAGATCAATAATCTCATATGGAAATATGCATATTACCAGAATTGGAAGTGCTTGTGGTAGCAATGGAGTTGGCACAACTTTGTGTACAATTATACACAACATTCGAAAGTCTATGTTTGCATCTGATCATGCACGTGCCAAGGCATATTGGGTTCATTAGGCACTTTGTCGCACATTTAAAACCACAAGAAATAATATGACCATTTGGAACCACTTGATTTCCATTGGAAGGATCAGAGACATCATCAACATGACCAAGAGTGTTGCCATTTGGAACCGTATTGGTATAGGAAGGATTCATATCAGCTTCAGCTATTGCAAGCACAAGCATGCTCATCAAAACCACAGCCCTCAACACACTGGAATCCATACCTTCTCTTTCTTTGTTTCAAATTTTTTTCTATTGAACTCTGTTTGATTGCTGGAGTTTGTTGGTGGAGGAAGTGGAAGCTAATGCCACAGTTTATAGGGAGACCCTTTGGCCATCTATTGTTCTAAGCATGATTGTAGCTAATTACTTGAGCTGTAATGGAGCACAAATTGAATGTGTCTCTCTTTTGATTTCATGGCGATTATCAGTGAAGACCACCCAAAGTTCAGTCCAAAATATTTCTCTGGTGAGCCTCAAATTATTAATTGGTGGATGTAATTTAGGCGGTTTCGCATATATTTGTTTCTCATTGTAAGGAAATGACAGAATTATTGTTGATCAATTGCAGGTGTCCTTTGATTTAGTTCATCATTTGCGCCCCTTTGATTAAGTCATTTTGTCCCACCTCAAAAGTTAAATTTATAATTTAGCAATTTTGGTGTCTATACATCACTATCGAAATATATAATGTTCAAGCACTCAAAATAATTACACTTCACTTATAGAGAAATATCGGTAACTTCACGTTAGTAATTCCTCATTCACTGGGTCTCACCTCAAAAGTTCAATTTATAATTTAGCAATTTCTATTTTTACTTTTTATTTAACAAATCAACAGCAGTTGTTAGATAAATAATTATGGGTTAATTGTACTTTTGGTCAATGAAGTTTGGCAAAGAATCAATTTGGGGTCCTTGAATTGAATATCGATGATATCCATTTGACGAATTGTAGTTAGCCAAGCAGTTGTTGGACATTTTTGGTCCTATTATTAATTTTTTTAATAAATCGTCTAGCCGCACGGCTATACTACTTCGTTTTAAAAAAAGTTGGAAAAAACCCAGTATAGCCACATGGCTATACTATTCCTTTTTTAAAAAAGAAAAACGAGTATCGCCGCGCTGCTATACTATTTATTTATTAAAAAAAAGAGTTGTTGTAACGCCATGTGGCTATACTTATAGAAAAAATTATTATAAACAACGAAGTATAGCTATCCTATTTCTTTTATAGCGCACGGCCATACTATTTCTTTAAAAAAAATGGGAAAAGTCGGGAATAGCCGCGCGGCTATACTAGTGCTCGAAACAAATTGCGAAAACCGACTATACAGTTTTGAAATTTAGGAAAACCGCGTATAGCCGTTCGGCTACACTATTTATTTTTCTTTTTTTTTTGGTTTGGGATTAAGACGGGGTATAGCCGCACGGCGATACTATTTCTTTGTGGCTTTTTAAAGAAATAGACCGAGTATAGCCGTTCGGCCACAAATTTGGAAAACAGGGTATAGCCGAACGGCGATACTACTTCTTTAAAAAATTTAAAAAAAGGAAGTGTAGCCGTTCGGCGATACTATTTCTTTCAAAACATTTAAGAGAACATAGTATAGCCGGTCGGCTATACTTTTTTTTTTTTTTTTTTTTTTTTTTGGGTTTGGAAAAAGGAGCATAGCCATTGTTAGTTTTTTTTTTAATTGTTTCCTTTTCTGATTTTGCTTATACATTTGCAGAAATCAAATCTCCATCAACATGTCAAGGCAGTACACCTTGAACATAAACCTTTGTCCGTAGCTTTTCGGGTTGTGGCTTCAGATTCGCAAACAAGCATGTGAGAGATAAGCATGAGAAGACTGGTCATGTCTATGCATAGGCTAATGCGAAGGAAGCTGATAAAGTAGCCAAACCAGTTGCAGTCTGCTGGTATATCTTCTGGTGGAGATGGAGCTGCTTCTTCGGGTAATACAGTAAATATGTGTATAGATGTATGTAGCAGTGTATGTTTGTATTTAATAATGAATTTATGTGTTTATGTGCATGTGTGTACTATTTCTGGTCTGGATTGGATGAGTTATTAGTATATGTATATTTACATATGTGTTTGGGTCTGTGGTGATATGCAATGCAATGCATAAACATGTACAATTTTGTATGTATGTTGACATGTTGTGATTGTTATTGTACTGTGGCATCTGCAGGTCCAAAAGAACCTGATTGCTTCTCACCACTAGGTTTCAGTCCTTTTTAATTTTGGTTTTCTATGGTCCAATTATGAATTGTTATGAATTGGGATTTACTGTTGTGGATTCATTTGGTTTTTGTATTTTAAACAAAATCTGAAGCTGGGTTGTCTTCAGATTGATTATATTAATTTTTACTTATAATTTGGTTACTTTTGTTACAGGAAGAGATGGAAATGGCCGAAGAGGCTGATGGGGATGGGGAAGGGGAAGGAGAGAGGAAAAATCCAATACTTGCCAAGAATGTGGTGCTACTTTTAAGAAACCTGCATATCTCAAGCGGCAAATGCAAAGCCATTCCCTTGTGGTGTTGTCTGCTACCGATTAGTTTGATAGTTTGATAGCTTCATTAAAGCTTGGATCCCAGACAAAGATCTCCAAAATGCGAGAGGTTTCTGACTTTAATGGACCAGTATCAGGTGGGAGACCTCCTTTGAAGCTCCATCAAGTGAACCTCAATCACGTACTGCAGTTAGAATTGAATGCGTGTTCACTTGTTCCTGAATTCATTTAGCTTAATCTTTACAGTGGCCATACGTTTGTTCGGTGGATGATTGTCGTTCCAGCTTCAGAAGAAAGGACCACATAAATGATAAATCTTCATATTCTTCAGCACCAGGAGAAACTCTTTATGTGTCCGATTGAAAACTGTAATCGTGGGTTTGTTTTTCCCAAGATAACATGAGGAGGCGTGTGAAAGAACTCCACAATGAGGACGATCCTTCGGCTAACGTTGGAGGTCAGAAGCAGCCTGTATGCCAGGATTGTGGAAAGGTGTTCAAAGCTGCGGAAGCATGAGAATTCTCACGGTAGATTTCATTTCAGAAGTCGATCTTCTTTTTGTATTCTGCCAAGTATCGCCGCGCGGCTATACTATTTATTTTTAAAAAACTGAAATCCCGTATCGCCGCGCGTCTATACGATTTATTCTAAAAAATTAAAACACTGTAGAGCCGAACGGCTATACTATTCTTTAAAGAAAATGGAACACCGAGTAGACCCGTCCGGCTATACTATTATTTGAAGAAAATGGAACGCCGAGTGAGCCGTTCGGCTATACTATTCTTTAAAGAAAATGGAACACCGAGTAGAGCCGACGGCTATACTATTTCTTTTTAAAAAAATTAAAAACTAAGTATAGCCACGCGGCGATAATATTTTTAAAAAATAATTAAAAGCAGAAAAAATAGTAAAGCCGACCGGCTATACTAATGCTTAAAAAATATAGCCTCGGCTATACGATTTCTTTGAATTGCAAACTAGATGATCAAGCATCCCTACATATATATAATATAAGTGGGTTTCTGTTGACTTCTCTTCGCTATCCATACAAACTTCTTCCCATCCTTCTCAACGTAGTCATTCATGGGCACTCCATAAGCCTATTCCAAGAAGAAGTACACATAAAAAATGTTAAAAATGAAAAGTTGCAAGAAAATCAAATGAACAACAATAAAAGAATTAGCTGGCTTCCTTCCTACATGACCATTGAAAAAACGACCAGACTCAATGCTACCACTGAAGTTTCTAACCCTACGAAAAATCTTATATTCCTCTCTAGCCAACACTATAGCGCACAGTGTCCCCTCCAAAACCTCATTATCAAGCCCTTTCACAGAACCTCCATGTCGAGGCACTGCAAGATACATATATAGCACCAATTAATCCAATGAGCCAGTTGCCATTCATCATACAGATTAATATAGCCAAAATGACTTGCTAGAGATGCATCAAAAATTGATTATAATTCACTGTTTAATCACCTAGACCAAGGTAAAAAAAAGGTGGCTCAAATCGCAGAAACAAACCGTAGCTCATTCCTTATACCTGGACCATGTTCTTCCCTTAAGCTTTTGATTACATCTCCCACAGCTCTCGTCCTGTGCTCAGCGATGAATACAAAGGGAAGGAACTCAGAGTGCGATTCCTGCAAGCAGTTTCAATAACAAAGTACAACTGAAAAGAAGATTTTCTTTCTAAACATGTCAAATGTTAGTCTAAAAAATACTGAAATATGAAAATTAACAACGAAATGGTATTTTTACACTCGTCAAATTCTAAAACGAAAGAAAATTAAAGTCCTAAATACGTCAAGGTAGCATTTACCATATTAAATTCTCTCAATCATTTCGATGTATAGCTTAGAAACAAATTCTATTGTAAAGTAAATGAATACTTTTGTTCTAGACGATAAAAAAAAAGTGGTTAAATATACATCAGAGTCCATTAAATTTTTAATATGGCTTCAGGATCATTAATTTCCTCATTTTTTATTTCCTTTAATTTTTTAACATCCCTGTTGAATTTTGTCCTTTTGTCTCAACTTGGATGCTTCTTCTTGTAAGAAGAAGGTATCTATTAATTTAATTACTAAATAATTTCTAATGTGAATGAAACATGTGGTTATCATAATGAACTGAAAATTAATATACGAAAAGTGAAACTTGTGCATATATAATTTTTATGAAAAAATTGGGAAAAATCTGAGTACAGCGGCGCGGCTATACTATTTCTTAAAAAAAATTGGAAGACGTGTATAGCCGGGGCTATACTATTTATTAAATAAAATAAAATAGAAGAGCCGAGTAAAGCCGATCGGCTATACTATTTTTAAAATAATTTTTCCTTCTCCTGACTTTAAAAAGAAATGGGCTCATTAGCCGATACAGATATATTTTTGGGCCACAAGAAATGCGTAAAGCATAGCTCTCCAACTCTCCATTAGTGAACCCACACATCTGTCTCTGACTTTACAACTACGATTGATTTAAATCTTGTTGGACCATTGATTTATGACTTTGCGATCAATCTTTGTCTGAGTTTGTGGTCTCTTGTTTTGCAAGTGCATATTGATTTCTCTTCCATCCAGTTGGGTTGTATTTGGCATGATATGGAAATCAATGCACCCAGGTGTGCTTCATATCTTGTTGATAGCTTTTTTGGGGTTCTACTCACTTGGTATTCCGGTGCCCTCCAATGCTTATGTATCCTTCCTAGTGC